CCATCAGAGGTATATATATATATCCCATACCCACCTTCTGGTCAGAGGGACCCAGGCAATCTATGGTCATGGATTTCGCTCCATGTCATTGGAATAAAGACTATTTTTACTTTATATTCTCTCTTTTATCGTGGCAAAAACTCTTTCAATATTACAGTGATACTATTGTAGCTTGGCATCACTGATGCCATCTTAAGCCCTGCATTTAACTAGTGCCCTGTATTCAGAAAAATGGAAAATTACTCAGGGTGTAAGTCCCATTAGAAAAGCAGAATGAGCTGTACCTACAAGAGAAAAATTAACCTGCTCAACAAAGGAAGCATGATTCAGGTGTCAACCTAAAATTAATGAAAGATTCAAACTAAATTGTTTCTAACAGGATGTCTTTTGTGATTCTGTCTTTTAAAAACTGTAACTTTCCAGTTTGGTGTCACTTGTTTGGACCCTGAAACGGTGTGTGTGTGTGTGTGTTCTGTATATAAGTGGTCCTGAGCCCAACTAATTAAATTCCAAATTTATAAATTTGGCTGCTTGGATTCCTATATTTTTGTTCAGGAACCCACCTCAGATACTTATACACCCACATTCATGGCAGCACAAGCCATAATAATAAATTTTGGAACAGGCCTATGTGTCCTTCAACACATGACTGGGTAAAGAAAATGCAGTCTGTACACACAGTGGAGTACTACCCTGCCATACAGAAAGATAAATGTAAGTCAATTTTAGGAAAATGGACCATAACACTAAGGGGAAAAATTAGATACACAAGTCACAAATATTACAAGGCTTCTCTTATATGAGAAACTCAAATTATAAATAATTGAAAGATCAAATTAAAATACAGATAATAGGAAACAGGGAGAGAGATCTTTTGCAAATGGGAAGGAGACCAAGAGATAGAAGTGAGGAGGATGAGGAGGGCTAGGGGGCATAGAAATAATTAAGATATAACCAGGGAGGCATATCTGCAAAAGTGAGACCCCATCCTCAGGAAAGGGCAGCAGGAGAAAAGGCCCCCACCACACTCTGCAGAGAGGCAGGTTTGCCTTCCACCCCCAGATCTGGGCTCTAAATGACCGTGTTCTGGGGCTCCCTGCCTATCCCAGACAAGGCAGAGTAGAGAGATAGAGATAGCCAGGGGCCTTGGGGTGAGGAGGAGGAAGATGTAGTCATCTTTTGTGGGCACACCCTCAGGTCAACTCTAAGGTCACAGGTGCGGTCTGGCTCTCAAAATCCAAAGGTTTGCAGATGAAAGAAGCCAGGGTATGACCCGGACACCCAGAGACTGGACTTTCGCAGCGGTTCCTGTACTCAGATCTGCTGTTTATCCTAACAGGGAGGTGTTGGGGTCACAGCAAGGCCAAGTGGAGCTGGCATCGTGCAAAGAGCAGAGCTTTCACTCCCAAATTCAGTTCCCAGAGCCCTGGGAGGAGCACAGGGCCACTGTACAGGAATGGCTGCCAGGTGTTCCTTGATCATGCTCCTAGCATGTCTAAATCTGGGCTTTTCAGCTTTGGAGCTATTGGCATTTTGGAGGGGCCAATCCTTTGTAGTGGGGGGCTGCCTGGTGCACTTTAGGGGGGACCTAGCAGCATAGTGGTCTCTGCTCACTATATGTCACAGCACCCTTCAGCATGACAATTGATGTCTCCAGACACTGCCAGTTGTCCTGAGAGCCACATTTGTAAACTGCTTGCCTAACATAGTCAGACAGCTGTGTGTGCCCTGGCTGTACCTGAGTCAGGACTAAGGTTGCAGGTCTGGTGTCCACCGGAGGTCCACTGGGAAGCTCCTTTTGACCTATTTTTCTCACCTCACAATGACATGAAAGGTGGTTGCCAAGTCCCCCTCCGCTCCATGAATCAGTGTATGGAAGATGCATTTAACTTTACAGCAGTCTCCCTTTGTCCCCACAGAACACACTCCAATACCCCCAGTGAACTCCCCAAATAGTACCCAGTTCTAAATAGTGTTTTTTCCTGTCCATGTGTAGCTATGATAAAGTTTAATTTATAAATTAGGCACTGCACCAGGCATGGTGCACACTTGTAATTCCAGCACTCTGGGAGGCTGAGGATTGCCCTGAGTTTGAGGCCAGCCTGAACTATATAGTGAGTTCAAGACCAGCCTGAACTACAAAGTCCTGGTCTCAAACAAATAAATGAAATAAACTAGGCATAGTGAGAGAGCACCAGTAATAAGTCCTAATGCAATAGGACAGTTATAAAAATATAACATGATAAAAGATATTTAAAATAGGAATTGTAGCTGGGTGTGGTAGCTCACACCTGTAGTCCTAGCCCTCTCAGAGGTTGAGACAGGAGGACTGCAAGTTGGAGCCCAGCCTGCGCAGCTTGGCTATACCTTGCTTCAAAATAAAAGATAAGGAGAGTTGGGGATATTGTGCAGTGTGAAGACCTTGGGTTTAATTCCTATTACTGTAGACAAATCAGCCATGAATTGTTTATTTCTGGATATTCCCGCATATTATTTTCAGACTGTGGGTGGGTAACTGAAACTACGCAGGCAGAGGCGCGGAGTTGGGGGTTAGTTTCTGTGCTGCCTTTGACACTAGTGGGGGATGCTGTGGGGTATGGGCTGGGTGTGAGGGGGAATTCACAGCTGGTAGGGATGGCAGCACTGTTGCTCGGGGATGCACATTTCCTGTTCCCCATCTAATTGAACCAGGGGTTCTGACTTCCTTCAGATGTGCAATAGCATTTCAAACTTACTATGGCTACTTCTCTCTCCAGCCCCAAATTCATCCTCCAAAACCCCTCCCACTTGTCTTCAAGCTGCCAGGGCCCCATTCAAGAATCCGGATGTCTCCTCTCCTCCTCTCCTGTCCCACACCAAACCTAGTAGCAGCTCCTGGTGGCTCCATTCAGATCCAGGACCCACTATGCTATGGCCTTGCTTCAAGCCCGTCTCCTCACCTGGGGTCTTCTGGCTTCCACACTGTCCTCCTGCTGCCCAGCACCAACACAGCAGCCAAAGGTTCGTTGAGATGTGTGGCTGCATCACTCTGCATTCTGAATCTCTCACTGTGCCTCCTTTCATCTCTCAGAGTGAAAGCCACACTTGCTATGGCACCATGTCCCCCGTGTCTCCTTCCTCACCCACTTCAATCACACTTGTTTTCTTGATGTTTGTTAAACACACCAGCATGGTCCTACCCAGGGCTCTGCAAGGCTGTTCTCTGTGCCTAGAGAGCTTTTCTTCTAGATTCCCACACATGGAACCTTCACTTTCTTCAAGTTATTCTTCAATATTTTTATACTTCCCTGATCCCACTGTAAAATTGCATCCACTCCTCTCCACTTCTGAACCCTCCATACCTCACTTTTTTCATCTGACAGAACTTAGTACACTCTAACAAACTGTATCGTTTGCTTATTTGCTGACCCAGTACCCAGAAGAGCCTGGCACCCAGTAGATCATCAGTATTTGCTGAATGAACAAACAAATGAATAATCATTAGTTGAGTTTTTTCATTTTCTTTGAAGGGGAAACAAAAATGGAAGAACATTTGAGGAATGGAGATGGAGGTAGAGATGGGGGTTCAGTCTTTGCAAGGACAAGCTATTAGCCAGTCTGATCATAGTGCTATGCACAACTGGAAGTAGCAGCATGGAAAATATGAAAATAGAGATTATCTAGTATCTTCATTAGATTGCATTACATGAAGTTATGGTTGCTTCTCCTTCCTGTTAAGTAGCATGTATACCGTGTGCGTGTGTATGAACACATGGAAGCACGTCAACATACCAGGTACATCAGAAAGAGTGCAAGTGATCTGGGAATTACTTTAATATTATCCACAGTCTGGACACTTTCATTCCCACTTGATAGACTGCATCCATTAGATGTGCTGAGCTCTCTTGTGACTCCAACTTTGGAAGGTCCCACAACTCACTAAAAATTGCCCAGAATCTGATCCGTGGATGTGGGTTCTCTGGGTTTCTAATCCATCCTTCACAGCATCGAGCGAGGTTGTGGGAGTAGGAAGGACCCACGCCAAGCTGGTCGCTGTCACTCATTAAGAGACCAGCACCTGAAACCACTGGGACTGGTAAGGCAGTCCAGGCACTATTCATGGTAGCAGGAGGAGACTTTTCTGTCTCTTCCCCAGGATATGAAATAGAAAATGAATGGCCTTCTTACCACCAACGAAGAGGCCAGCTTGAGGAGGATGCAGACAAACCGAAGAGGAGAGAACTGAAACAGCAAAGTTGAGCCAAAACTCCACTGCCTTTGCACACCTCTGGATCGAAGCATGCCTGTCCCATTCTTCTTCCTCCTCCCTCTCCATGTATACCACGTGCCCCTATAAGCCAGTATAAGGTAAGGTGCCTTCCTTGCAATGAAAGGCACCTTGATCTTTGATTTCATTGAAGCTCTTCCCTCTGCTTCTCACTGATGTATTCTTCTTGAACACATGGCTGTTAAATGTGTACATGGGTGCATTTCAAAGTCGTAAGGCAACTCTTCTTTATCTGACACCCCATCTCTCTCGGCACTAGTGAAAATAATTACCTAACAAATAGTAAGAATGGGTGTGGTGGCTCATGCCTGTAATCCCAGCACTCAGGAGGCTGAGGCAGGAGGACTGTTGCAAGTTTGAAGCCAGCCTGGGCCACAGTGAGTTCAAGGCTACCCTGAACTGCATAGGGAGACCCTGTCTCAAAAGGACCAAAAACAAAACAAAAAAGAGCATTAGGGGGGCCTCTCAGACCTGGTCCTGGACCCTACTTCTCCATTTTCCTGATGACCAGTTTTGTTGTTAGTTTGCAGTGCTGGGGATTGAACCCAGGGCCTTGCACATTCTAGGCAAGCAGTGATTGATCATGTCCATGTGACCCGCTCACTCTGACAAGCTGGAGGCTGTGGCTTCTCCAAGCAACAGCCTGGTCTAGTTTCAGCCTCACACCGGAGGGGCAGTGCTGTCCAGAGGACAGCGGGCCTGGAAAGATGTTGCGTGAAGAAACTGTCCAACAGGCCTTTCCTTGTTTATTAGATTCCAGATACATGGGACCGGGATGGAACCAGGATGGAAGAACCCTAGGGCATGTGATTTACAGGGGTCCTTGGGAGAACATACACAGGGTAGAAATACATAGAGGTGACACGGCAACACAGGACTGCCATTTAAAAAATATATACATCTCAAGAAGCCATTCCAGCTGTAACATCATTACAAAATAAAGCCATCTTTCCACATAGTGCTTTTCTTTGGTGCTGTTCTGTGGGCACGGATCCTGGGCCTTTTCAACTTTGCCACCATAGCCTTTATCGCTTCTCCTCTCTGCCCTGGGGAGGAGAGTCTGGAAGGAAGGTGCCCCAGCACAGACAGGCCTGTTCCTCAGCCCCTGCTACCACCTCCTAGGCCTTGTCAACAAGTCGCTTACCCGAATTATGGCCTGGAAAACCATCACTGCATCCACATGTATGGCCACAGTCTCCAATGCACATGTAATAAAGCCACCTGGAGCCTTAGGAAGGACAGGGGTAAGGGAACCAAACAAAACCCAGCCAGCACCACCTCTGCTGTGGTTGGATTTATGTTTTATTTCCTGGTTTGTTTCAAATGACCTGCATCATGAGTGTACAAATGAAAAGTGATGTTGCTGCTTTACAGAATTTTCAGATATGGCAGAATAGGGGGGTAAATCTGGGTTCTGTTGTTTGGGGGTGTGAGGTCTTCCACTCTCCTCCCACCCCCATGAGGTCAGAGCCCTACACTCCCAATGGAGGCCCCCACCGGGCTTCCCACTACACAGCTGACCTCTGTTCTTGTGGTGCCCAGTGGACCCAGCAAGTCGGAACCAGGTCCTCCCCCACAGTACGGAGTTCCCAATGGTGCTGGCAGCTCTCCTGCTGCCTGCCACAGTTCCAACTCAGGAAACCAAGCCCCAACTGGCAGAAAGGGCTCTAACGTGGGGAAACATCAAGTCCAGGGAGGCAAAGCTGACACACACAGGACTCCCCACCACTCCTCAGGAAGACCCACCTGCTGTTCCCAAAAGCCAGCTGTGCCCAAGTCCATGCTGGTGCTGAAGGGCAACACTCGGGCACAAAGTGATACCACATAATGCAATGGGAAATGCCACCCTCTGCCCCTTCCTGGGGGAGCACAATGCAGTGACGGGCACAGAATTCACCCCAACTTCTCTCACCAAGATTCTTCAGAACCAGCCCTCAAGATTACATGAGACTTGAGGTTTACCCTGGGTTCCCCAAGATGCTTTTTCCTTGAATACATCTGACTACCGGATCAGAGCCAAGGGGCAGTGTGGACAGCTACAGGATGAGGCATTGGTGACTCCAGTGTTGACTCATCTAGTGACTCAGATCTCAGGTTTTCCACAGGTAGAAGGAGAGGACCTCTTGGAACAACCTTGGTGAAGCCCAGCAGAAGCCCAGACTGTCCTATGGACAGCCTGGGAGGAGCTCACTGTCTCAGGGCCAGGCGCAAGCTGCCAGTCTCTCTGGGGACTCAAGCCCAGCCATTTAGATCCCCACCACAGAAGGTGGCCGGACACTTGCCATCTCAGACAGAACCCCCTTGTTCTCCAGGATCCTCCATGCTGCCAACCCATGAGCACCGATGGGGAGTTCAGAGCTGCCCCTACAGTGGGTGAGCAACTGTCCCCTGCACCTGGGCTGAGGGCTCTCCTGTGACACAGAATGCTCAGTGGGCAGTTCGGTAGTGACTATGGAGAAGCTGGAGACTGGGGACCCTGCCAAGGCTGCCTGGAGAGCTACCACCACACTTCCTTAGCACACTTCCTTCTCCCAAGGTGTGCCCTGCTTCTTCGGGTTGCAGAGGGAGTCTCCTCACTTTTTCTCACTAAGCCAATGTCCTGCCCTTCCCAGGGTACCAGATCCTACTGAACCAGAGGCCAAGAAGCACTGGGAAGGCTAGACTTCTCTGGACTCCCTCTCCAGAGTTCCCCTGCACCCTACTCTGTGGCCAGATCTCTCTGTGCTTGGCATGGAATGGTTAGGGCCTCTTCTGTCCTGCTGGGACCTTTCGAGGACTGCTGGCCTCAAGCAAGAGCCTCCATGTGCCCCTAGATGGGGCCAGGTCCTGGAATTTCCAACAGGCCCCAGGTTTTCTGGGGACCGGACCCAGTCCACTCTTCTCTGAGCCAGCACATCTGTGTCTCCAGGCGCAGATACTCCATGGCTGGTGGAAGCCCTGAATAAGCCCTGAGGTGGGGGAGGGCTTCTTGGAGGAGAACAGGGAGACCCTGGTGCAGCAGAGGGGTGCAAGCAGGACAGCACCAAGGGGCGGGTACCCAGGGAAACACGGGAGCTCTGCATGTGTGCGGCTGAGAAGGGGATGGACCCATGAGGACTGCAGAATGTGCAGTCTTGGGGCCTCGAGGATCCCAGAGGACCTTGGGGCAGGCAGAATCCCTGAAGGAGCTGCCAAACCCCTGAGGACCTGCCCTCTGTGGAAGGACAACCCCAGGTGGTGCCCCAATGAGTTGCCAGAGTCTGGTGCACACAACAGCCCACCAAGGCTGCAGACCAGGGATGGGTCAGGAAACACATGCTGCCTCCTGGTGGTCTGGTGGGGTAGGGGGCACTTCCTCCAATGGTCTCCAGTGTCAAGGGGAGTCAGCCCCAGCCCAGGTCTCAGCACAACCCATGGAAAAGGAAAAATGTACCAAAGGAAAAATTGGTGACAGATGAGCCCCACGCCCTGCCCCCATCCCTGCCCCCACCCCCTGTACCCAGGAGTCTGCACACATAGTCAGGAGGCAGGAAGTTCCTCGCTCTGGGACCATACAGGGGCCGGAGGTCGAGGCTGGAGGCAGTGAGTCTCCACACTGGTCCATCTGTAGGTCTGGGTGCTGGGCCATCAGACTTTGGCCTCCAGCATCTCCAGGAAGAGTTTGTGCATGGGCACCTTGCCCTGCAGCTTGACGCTGTAGAAGTGCTGCACGGCCTTGGCGGCCGTCTGTCGCAGCAGGGGCAGCGTCAGCAGCAGCTTGCCGGTCCTCCTCGGTTCCTCGTGGCGCTGGCTCAGCTCGTAGTCCTGCAGCGCCTCATGCAGCAGGTCCTGCAGCTTCTGCACGGCCTCCAGGTCCTCGATGTACATGGAATCTGTGGGCACAAAGTGGGCATCAGTGCTGACCAGTAATGAGGGGCAGAGATTAGCTGGCAAGTGGGGCTGCTTCTGAACCCTCACTTTACAGAGCAGAGCCAAGCGAAGGGAGGTCACTGAGGCCGAGGACAGACTGGGGGCTCAGACCCAAGGAAGGACTCGCTAGGGAGGACATTTCCCAACAGTCTACCAAGGAGAAGTGGCCCCTGGGCAGAACTGTGCAGGTGGTCCCTGAGCCTGACAGATGGACTCTGGTCTCCCTCACTTGCTAGCTGTATGACAGAGCTCCTGGGCCTTCTCTACCACCTCGGGAAGCAGAATAGAGCAAGCACTTGCCTGGCATATGTTAGGCCCTGGGTTCCATCCCCGGGAATGTGGAAGTGCATGTATCGGGGAGGGCTTTAACTCTGGCCATGAATGGGTCTGAAGGAAATTCACTGAAATCTCCTAAGAACAGAGAGGTAAAGCAGTGGGTTGCAGTGGTGTCTGAACCCAACAAAAGTTAAGAGAATCTCCAGGATGCCACCACCGGGGGACACTAAGAAGACTTCTTCTGACCTTTCCTGAGGGACCTGAGTTCATTCTGAACTGCAACATGAGACTCTGCCAGAGGCGGCAGGGAGGGGGAGCTGTGAGCTCTGGGCAAGTCATCAGGAACGCAAACTGCCAGAATGCCATGAAAGCCAGACTTTTTAAAACCTTCTTGGTTGGCTGAGATCATAGATTGCCAAGGGTAGCTACACCAACTGACTGACTCCAGGGACCCTCTCTCATTAAGCCCATACCTCCCAGGGTCCTGTCTCTTCCTCTTGAGTAGGAAATAAACGTTTAGAGATGCTGTGTGACTTTAGCCAAGTTGCTTAGTCTATCTGAGCTTGCTTCCTTATCTGCAAAATGCAGTGAATACAAGCATACTTTTTAAAGGTGGCAATGGAAGGTTAAAATAAGCACTCTGTAAACGTTACACACTATTACTGTTGTGGGGACTCGGTGAGAGGGTAATATCCTTGCAGGACAGGGATGATACTGGTCCTAGACCCCAGTGTCTTCTACTTTTTTTTTGCTCCCTGCTGCCAACCCAGTGAAGACACCTTTGCCAGCTGAAACAAAAAACAGGGCTACGTTCTGCCATTTACTGCTCGCACTCAAAACGCAGCTGGCCCTGCAAGGCTGGCCCTGGCCATGCACACTCCCTGGCTCTGGCCAGTCCCCCTGCCCCCCACCCCCACTCTCCCCAAGGAGGCTGAAATTGGCAGGTGCCTTCGACCGAAAATGAAATAAAATAACACTGCAAGATTAATTTCTTCACAATCCATCAGCAAGTCTGTATTGATGGCATTGATAAACTGTTAATTACAAAATCAATGGCTATGAATTTTTCTGCTGTCAGAGGGGTCTGGAGATGGCTGGGATGCAGGGTGAACAGCGGCCAGCAGGCTCCCAAGGGCCAAGGTCTGGGGCTGCAGCCAGTCTCCAGGAGCTTCGCCTCTGCCTGGCCTCTTCTGCCCCAAGTTGGTGGACTCACCTGGGTCACTCTATCTACTCAGCCTCATCAGGGACACAGATCACAGTCCTCAGTATCCCTATGAGCCCTCAGTGGTCTCCCAAACTGCTCCCTGACTCTCTCTCCACTGGCTGCCTGGGTCAGGCCTCACCCCCACGAGCTCTCCTGGCTCCCTGTGCTGACTCCATCTCACCATGACCTTCTCAGCATCCCAAACTGCTCTTCTAGCCACACACCGCACCCCCCGCCTGGGCTGCTCTAACCCAGGTCCTGCCTCTAGCTGAATGACTGTCTCCAGAGCTTTCTCTCCCTCTTCCAGGCCTGCTGAGTCCTCTTGCTTTAGGATGCTCCTGCCCAGCTAGGGCTCACCCCACCAAAGCCCTCTACACCACAGCCCTACTGGGGGCACTGGCTTTAGCTCTGGCTGTGCCCATGTTCTCCCCAAAGGCCTGGGCTCCATCCAACTGCCCCTCCCTCAGGCTTCCCACACAGGCCTGGCAGAGCCACAAGATGCTCCAAGAACAAAGAAGAGAGAACGGGCAGGCACTATGCCCGGTGCTTTAGGTGCATCGCTGCGTATTTTTCTCTATAATGAGCAGTTACTCTCCCCGTTTCAAAGATGAGGGCACTTATGCTCAGGAAGGTCAGATTGCCTGACACTTAGCAAGAAGGTGGCAGAAGCGGGATTTGAACCCAGGTTTGGCTGACCATAAAGTCCACGCTTTATGCTACCCTAAAATGCAGAGCTGGCTAAAATGCTTCCCTCTGAAGACAAGAAGCACAGGCACGTGACGCTCTGCTGTGCTGTGTAATGGTGGCAAAGTGGCATTACACTTTTTAAAACCAGATGGGTGCAACACAGAGTGAGTCCTAACAGCAACTATTCACTTTAGTTAAGAATAATGCATCAATACTGGTTCACTAAATAACAAGTTATTCCACTACTGCAAGATGTTGAGAGGAAACTGTACTGGGGATGGGGTAAAATATGGAATTCTGTACACTATCTGCTGTTACTCGGTAGATCTATAACTATACATAAAGTGGGGGTAAACCCCAAGACATAGCATTAGTTTTCAATTCTAGATTCTGAAAGTATAAATGATCTCTCCACAAGTATGTGATTTATCATTTTGCATTTATTTATTTATTTGTTTGTTTGTTTGTTTATTTATAAAAAGCAATTGGACAGGGGCTGGGGATTTAGCGCAGTGGTGCGGCTCCTGCCTGGCAAGCATGAGGTCCTGAGTTTTGATTCCCTGAAACCACCCCCCTCCTCAAAAAAAACCAATTGAACAAAACAAAGCTTCTGTGTGCTGCTGAGCCAGATTCCCCAAGAGCACAGCCTGAGACAGAGATTTGAGTCCAGGCCCTGGAGGAGGCTGAGTGTTCAATCAAGAGGAAGGAGGTGAGGAGGCAGGAAACTCAGGGACAGTGAGGCCCGATCCACGCAGAGCTCTGCTCCAGGCATCTGCTCCCCCACGCATGTCCTCACTGGCTGACAGAGCCAGAGAACAGTATTAGAGGGCCAGCCAGGCAAAGGGTGAGCTGTGAGTTGCCAGCAGCAAAATTCAGAGGCTGGGGGTGGGAGGACCAGATGGTGAAGGGGACAAGTGAGGCGTCAACAGTGTCCCCCGCATGCACCATGTTAGGGTGACTCTCTGGCTTTGTCAGCTGCTGAGGGATTTCCTGAACTCTCCTGGGACTGTCAGTGCAGTAAGGTGGACCAAAACAGCCGGGTGCCCTGTGTGTGTCTCTTCCATCTGCTGATAATACTGTGTTTCCTCAAACACTTACAACAATGATATGGAGCATTTCCTCTAGGCTGGTCCTCAGTCCTATGGGCTGAGGACTTTGTCTTTGATTGATCTTTAACACTCAGAATATCCCCATCACACTCAAGGGCACCAAGCTGACCAAGATCTTAGCACTAGTGTCAGAGACAGAATTTAAACTTGAATTAATCTGACCCAAACCTGGGCAATTCACTGCCACATGAGTGCAAGTCTAACCTGCGCTCTCGGGCAAGGACTCTGCATTTCTCTCCTGCATCCCCAGCATGAGTGCCCTAAACCTCACGGAAGCTGCGTGGGCATACACGCAAGTTCACTCACTCAGTTCCCACCCAGCCCCACACCTCAGACTGTGTAGCCAGAAGTTGGTGGGTGCTTAACAAATGGAGTGAATGCTTTTTTTTTTTTTTCCTTTGGTACCAGAAATCGAACTCAGGACCTTGTGCTTGCCAGGTAGGCACTTGTGTCACTGAGCTGCATCTCTGGCCTAAATACTCCTTTTTTTAATGCCAAACTAAACCATTTATCTGAGAATCATTTATTTCCTTACACCCAGGCAATTTGACTGAAAGATGCAAGGAAGGGCAAGCTTAGATTTGCTTTGGAATTCGATGACTTCGGTTTGAGTTCCAACTCCAACATTTTTACCTGTGTGACTCCAGACCTCTCCCTGCTTCAGTCTCCACACTGTCAACGATGGGCTTGCTGGGCTCCCTGGACCACCAGAAGCTTGCCCTCTCCTCCCTCCTGCAGGCCCAACTCTGCCCTTACCTGAGTTGGCAAGAGCCAGGGCCTTGAGCGTCACAAACTCCTCCTTCTCCACCTTGAGCTTCTTGTACCTGCGCACCAGCTGCAGGATGGCACGGTAGAGCTCCAGCAGCCCCGCCAGGCGTGAGTGCTCTTCGTCCATGATGTAGTCCTCCGCATACACCAGCTTGTCATCATAGGGCAGCGAGCGGTACACGATGCCCAGGATGAGGATCTCCATCCAGGCGCTCTGCAGCAGGCTCATCTGGTCCCCCAGCGAGAGATTGGAGAAGCCTGTGGGGAGAGCGGGCAGGAGGGCAGCAGCAGTCAGGACGATGGCCAGGGCAGGAGGGAGGTGGGCAGTGCTCCTCCCTGTGTAGCTGCTAAACCACTGCTCTTCCCTTGGAGAATGAGTCAGACTTGAATTCACATGAAAGACTTACATAACAAGAGCTCAGTCAGTGTTGACAGTTGTTATTATCACTGTGATTGTTAGGTCCAGGGTATTTTTCAAATGTCTGGAGAGGTGATTAATTAAATGCTTCTGTAATTTAAGAGGTACTGAATTCATAGTCCAATCAAGAGGCAGTTATACAGGGGTCGCTTCCACTCCCGGAGTTTCCAGGCTCTCTCAAACCAGAGTGGAGGGCACTTTATGCTTTTAATTGATACCTGATTCCCTCTGTTAAGTCTGTTTTTAAGATACCCATGGCCAACCAGGAAAGACTCAGAATTCCCAGCCACCGCGGATAGAAGCCAGGGCGCACTGGGACAGCAAAGCTCAGGTCAGGCACTTTCTCTCAGGGCAGCCTTTCCCAACAAGACCTGGACATCCCCCACACCACCTCCAGCCATCACTCTCCCTTAATGATGACCCAGCAGCTCTGTTTTGAGAACTGGGAATTGCTGGGGTTTCCCCTTCCTGCTTGCAGGAGGCTGGGGGAGGGGAAGAGCCAGAGTCATAACACTGACTCATCAGTGTGCTGCAAACGCTGCCCGGCTGGCCTTGAGCCCCTGACCTTGTAGAAACCAGACAACTGCTCCACACCTTACCCTCCTCATCCATGAAATGGACATAACACTGGAGGCAAAGAGAGCCTCGGTGAGGTCTGCCTGAGACGATGATTGCGTAGATGATTACAAATGGTGACACACTGGAATTGCATTGTATGTGTATTTAGCTTCGTACTTGATTGACAAGAGGGCAAATGAGAGAGCACTCCACCTGCCTGGCTGCTGCTTTCACCGACTAGGAATGTGGTCAAAATGAGAGGGGGCGGACACACAGCCCTCAGCAGCGTTCCCAGCGTACAGTGGTGCCACTGGACCTCAGCACGGGTATGGGCGAAGCTCAGGGGTATCACTACGCTGCTGCTGTGGTCTGTGCCCTCTCTCAGCTGCTGTCCTCTGTCTGTCTCTACACTCTCCATCCAATGCTCTGTGTTCCTGGGAGCCCTTACCCTCGCCTTCCTAAGGCAGTCGCCATGGTTCTGGTCCCACCTGTACAACACAGACCCTGTTGCTGGAACCCACACATGAGCCAAATGAGCCACCAAGGAGCTAGGAGGATGGTACCTGTGGGTACAGGTGAGCACTGGTAGCTGCTCGTTCTAAGGGGAGAGTCTGGGACACAGGGCTAGGCTGTGTGTGTTGCTGTCCGTATTCCTGGCATAGGAGAGGATGCATGGCCACCCAGGGGGGCGGGGGAGCCGGAGGTAATAAAAGATAGATAGAAATGGACATCCAATTTCCCTTATCAGGCCTCTGAGTTGGAGAGAGGCCTTGGGCGACATTAATTAACAGATACCAATCAGCTGGCATGGGAGGCTGGGGGGAGGTGCTGGACCACACAGGGAGGGGAGGGGGTGTGAAAGCAGACAGACTGGGAAGGAAGATGGAGGAGGAGGGCGGCAGTGGTAAAAATAATAGACAACTGAACCAGAAGGTGCCAGAGAGGGAGGGTGAGGCAGGAAATGCAGGAGAAAAGATCTCCATCTCATGAGGTGAGTCACACAGGTACTGCCTTTACAAGAACTACCAGCATGCCTCTGCTCCTTCAATCAACATGTTTAGTGAGTACCTGGGCACTGGGGACACAGGGTGTGTTCAAGCAGAACTGCTACCTGCTTTCAAGAGCACACAGTGAAGAACACATCCTGTGTCACCAAGTGACACAAATCAGCACAAAGTTGTGACAGCAAGAAGAGCTTTGGTGAACAGAAGGCTCTGAGAACGTGACAGTTGGATGTGTCTCAAAGGAGGCTCTGCAGAGAGAGGACCGAAGGACTGAGCGCCCAAGAGGAGAAGGGAGGGCAGCCTTGGCACAGAGGCACTCATTGTGGGCACTGATGAGCAGCTGCCAGCCCTAGCCCTGAGCTCTGGGGAGAGTGGACGTCAGGCTGCTCCTGAGAAAAGGCCGACAGTGTTTGCCGCAAAGGAGGAAATGGACAAATACTACAGATCCGGACCTCCAGGTGACAAGCAGTGTGTCCAAAGCATTCTTAGGGCCTCTTAGCTGCCTGGGCTCAGGCTCACACTCAGCCACCTCTGCCCGTGACTGAGTGGGAGCAGGGAGCTGCTATGTCCTGCAGTGGTGGCAATGTGGGGTGGGGAGGTCAGGACTTGGGAGGCTATGCACCACTGCAGGAGGCGGCTCCAGCCCCTCTGCCAGGCTGGCGTGAGCGCCGCGCTCAGCCCTAGTTCCTCTCTACCTTCTCGAAAGACGCCTGGAAAGAGCTCTGATCCCCTCACATGCTGATCCACGTACACAGGCTGCTTGTCTTGTGGAAGGAAGCGGAGGCTATGATTTGCCATCCTCGATACACACTGAAATAACCCCGATGTTTTCTAATACGTGTGAAAAAGGAAGGCCAGGAAAAAATAACGAAAACCAAACGTGGGTCCCGCTAGGTGGGGCCTGGGAGGGGACAGGGATAAAGGCGAGCTATCTGCACACACATTTTTCTCTACTTTGGGATCCTGTCGATGCCACCTAAGATGTTTAAAAATAAATCATAACTATAACCCTCCAATTTAGCAATGCCACTGTGAGGAATGGCTCCCAGAAAGAATGTATGCAAAAGATAAATGCAAAAGGCTGGTGTTAGATCACTGTTTGAAGTGATCCAAAGCAGAAAACAACCTAAACATAACTCATGTGATGAGTCATTATTATTACATAAAATGCAACTTTTAAGTTAAGCAAACAACACATTAGAAACTACCAGAAAGAATGAAATAGAACTGTCTTGTGGGTGTGCAAAGAAAGACACCCAACAGCAGGAGGAGGACACTGGCATTCGGAGCAGATTCCAGGGCCAGACTCTCAGAATCTTTGTTCTGTGGACTGCTTGAGATGATCCAGGGTGGTTCCACGCCCTGAGCCTCAGTTTGCTCATCTTTACAATGGGAACAATGATAGCATTTTCCTCATGGGGTTGTTCACTTTACATGAGCCCACACATGGAACATTTCAAACACTTAGTGCACAGTACATGCTATTCCTTTATCTAATTAAGAAGCAAAGTGGATGTAAGCAGTGTTAAATTGGGTGGGGTAGTATTTGTCTGTACTCCAGCACTGAGAAGGCTAAGGCAGGACGATCACTATGAGTTCAATCTGGACTACACAGTTCAAAGCTAGCCTGAACTACTTAGCCAGACTGTCTCAAAAAGGAGCAAAAAACCCAAAAACCAAAAAAACCACACACAGTGGTTGTACATGCAGGAGGAAATTCCCAAAAAGATGCTCAGATGGGTGTATTTGGAAGTTTTAATTTCATGTTTACCCCATTATGTCTGGTATCTTCACTAGAAGCATTACCTTTTTAAATTTAAAAACCAAAGGGAAAAAAAACCCAATCAAACAAAGAAGCTGAAGCACTCCTCCCTGCCCTTCAGGAAAGCACGGTCCATTCCCACTGGTGGCCTCTCCTTCTTCATTGAGGATTATGGATTTTGGGCCAGCAAGTCCCCTGGGTAGGCATGGCACTGCCCTCGCAAAATCCTGGCTCCCAGGCTTCTCACCAGGAGCTCTGTGCCCCGGGAAAACTGCTTTACTTGCTCTGGCAGATCTAATAACACTCAGGCCCTACCCGAGCTCCCATCCCCCAGTGATCTGGTACCGTGAACTCCGAGAATTTAAAAAAAAAAAAAAAAAGCACGTAATTTGTGGCAAGTGGAGTTCATAATCTGTTAATTTATGATCATCTTTGCCGACCTGGAGGGCCATTAGAGAGGTAATAAAGGGAGATGTAATTATAGGATCTGGGGCCACTTCAGACACAGCTGCTGTCACTCGGCAGCTCATCTTTCATCCAGCCAGCCGGTGGCTACCTGGGAGCAGGTCGCCCAGGGATCCTGGGAGAGGAGGTCTCCGGGGACACCTTGCAGGTGGAGCCTGGGCTGGGAAGGAGTGGTGGGTACTCCTCACGCAGGCGCTCCTGGTCAGACAGACTCCGGCTGCCTGGGGAGGGCAGACATCTAGCCAACGCTGTGCAGAGGCTGCAGTTCATCAAGGGCTCCCTGCCTGTTATTAAAGGCTGCCGGCTCTTGCTCTAATCACTTGCTCCCAGGAAGTGAGACACAGATGCTCCCAAACTTAGACAGGCCCTCCAGGAAAATCCAACTCAAGGTAAAATCCTGCATTTGGAGTGGAGTGACAGGTCAAACAATGGCTGCTATAACAAGCAAGTCACAGCCATGGGAAGTCCATCAAACTCATCTTTGTTCCAATGGCATCCTCGAGGGTGGAAGGTCATCTGTACTTGTCCCCTCCTGCTCTGAAGTTTCCCTTTCTAAGGTTCTAGTTACCTAAGGTCAACCAAGGTCTGAAAATATTAAGCGGAAAATACCAGAAATAAACCTTAAGCTTAAAATCGTGCAACATTCAGAGTAATGATGCTATCTCACGCAATCAAGCTGTTTTGCCCAGCCTATGAATCATCCCTTTGCCTGGCGTATCCACACTATATCTGCTACCCACCCATTGGTCACTTGGTAGTCGCCCAGTTATTCAATCAGCTGTCACAGTATTGCTGCTCAGTGTCCCAGCAACCTTCATTTCATTTAATAATGGCCCCCAAATAAAAATACCACTGTAAAGTAGGCTGCAGGGCAAAAAGTCAGGACAGACTGCTTGTGACGCAACGTGGCAACGCTGCAGGGCATACAGAAAAACATGGTTTATACTAAAGACTCAGGCATCTGAACTCATCCAAGGTTTCAGGTTTCTACGGGGGGTTCTGGAACACACCCTTCACAAATAAGAGGCACTCTGAGACTCAGTCTCTGCCTCAGCTCTTAGCAAGAGACTCTAGTGAGTATTCACTCTGTGCACACAAAGGCAAGTACGCAGTGCCCTCTGTATACCACAGAGGTTGGAAGGCACAGTCCTCTGTAACGATGGTGGTCTCCTCAGAGCTTTAGTCCCGAGCGGTCTGAAGTGGCCGGTCCTTCTTTCTCTCTGTCCCAGACCCAGAATGGATAGGAGACAGCCCAGGCCTTGGGTGGGCTCTAGTTCCGTCTTCCCTGTTAGCCAGCCTCCTCTCTCTCCCTGTTTCTCTCTCTCTCCTCCTCCTTCTCCCAGGGCCGCTGAGCTGGTCTGCAGATGAGCCTGGCATCTATTGAAATGGGACTAAGTTGATTTGTTTAAAAATATGAGGCACTTGATATGTCATCGCTCTTAATAGGAGGTTTACACACGGTGGCAGGACATTCCATTAATTAATTTTACCTTCAACACTGGAAGGTCAGGCCCAAATAATTCAGCATGCAGATTTATGCAAAACAGGCAAATTACAATCTGAGACAGACAAAGGAATTCAGCGGTGGATGAAGAGAAATGATGGTGGAAAAGGCTTTTATCACTACTGGTAATGACACCACCTACGGCAACGGTCTCTGGCATTTATCACGGTCTCTGGCATTTATCAAGTACACACTGAGTGGGCTGTATCTTCCCAGCAATCTTGAACGGGGCTTTATTAGGAGTCCCATTTCACAGATGAGGACTCTGAAGCTTTGAAAAATTAAGTATCTTGCACAAGGTCAATAAGAACAGAGCTGGGGTGGGAGCCCAGAAAGGAGAAGAACAGAGACGAAGAGACAAGTTCTCTTGGTCTTACTTCTTTCCCTTGGAAATGTTACAGGTGTGGGATGATGAGAGGGAGAAGCAGTGACCTAGAGGACCGCCAGGCGCCACTCCTGAGCCATTGCTAGGATGCACTATCTGTTCCACTGGAAATAGGAGAGTAGGCCAGGGCAGGGGTAGCTGTGCCCAATTTGGCCCTGGGTTAGTGGAGCAATCCAGGCTGAGGTGTCTTAGCAGTGGCCTGACCCCACATGTGTGCTGAGCCAGCACGGGGCAGATTCAAAAACTACTGAGTATGTAATCCCCAAGAGGCTGAGCTCCTTAGCAAGGGCACACTAGCTGGGCCCCTGGCGAACCAACATCCAAGTCAAGATATCCAGGGGCCAACAGGAAGTTCTGAGGCTTCCTGCTAGCCAGGTGGCCACCATTAGCAAGAACTCCAGGCCACCCATTCTCTCTGCAAGCACCTGTCCACAGGAAGGCTCCTTTCAGTAAGCTGCACACACAAGGAAGGCATCACACAGGACTTTTTGATTCAACCTAACCAACTGCGAGCCATGGCATGTGACATCTAGACCACTTTTGCTACTGTGTCATGCAAGTAGCATTCAATTTCCAGGGTATAGCAAATGAAAACTGGATCTGCAGACTGCAGGATAAACTTTCCCATGTCACATAGTTAGAAATAGGGGTGTGGGGGCAGAGGGAGGGATGTGATTCCTGCCAGAAGAGTAACAGGATGTCATCACCACACTGAGCCAAGTTGTTGGAGGGAAGGAGGAAGATCCCAAGGTGTGTGTAGTGTAGCGATCTGTAGGCATACATGTCTACAAAAATAAAAATGAGCTCACATCTTTACCCAGACCAAGAGAGACTAAGTGTGGGGTCTGGATCCACATGGAGTGTGGAGAAGCCCATATGGCACACTGCATGTACTTCCGACAACAGAAATGCCCCTACGCTCATGGGATCCAAATAAAGTGCCAGGCTCTGCAAGAGAACGTGCAGGGGGATGGTGAGCATGCAGCTGCCCAGGGCTCTGCACAAAGCAGGCACTCATACTCCCCCTTCAGAGGTCAGGGTCCCTGTCCACAGCTACATAGCCAGTGAGCTGTATATCCAAAATCTGAATTCCAATATCATTCCCAATTCCATGTTCTCAACTGCTCCTCTGTACCTGCCTCTATATAATGACAGAGAGCCAATCCCTTCTGCAAGCTGTTTTCTAGCATAGTCCACAAAGGTCTACAGGGAAACTCTACACTTTATCCCTTAGAGGAAACTTGTTCCCACAGCTCCTTACAGAATGAGAACCGGTTCCCTAGAGGCCCCAGCAGTTCATAAGAATTTCTGGGCATTCCAACACTCACGCTCCTCCAGTCCCACAGGAGAGGAGAGGGTTCCCAGGAAAAGCAGGCTTTCAAGGATCTCACAGGCCTCCTGGGTACCATGCATCAGGACCTCAACCATGGCAGGCCTTGGGGAGCCTGGCCAACATCCCATGGCCATACCTGGGCCCATGACTCACCTGGGATGTGCTTGGCCCAGCCAATGATGACCACAAGCTCCCGGTCCACCAGGTCACACAGGATGGTAAGCGCCTTGATGTCCCCCTCAGGCATGCCAGCAGGAGGCATGGCGTACAGCTTGTCTGGCTCAGCCACCAGTAAGTATGAGACAATCTTGGTCACTGCAATGATCAGAGAGAAAGGTAAATGCTTGGAAAAAAGAGGGGCCAGGCAGGGTACAGCCTGGGGTGGTGAGGGAGAAAGGTTAGCTTCCTAACAGCCGGGTTAAATGTGACCAGAATTCCCCTCCTCCATTGGACTCCTAAAAGTTGTAGGTGGCAGTGATCTGGGCTGTTGGGAGATTTCCTCCAGGTAACCTGGGGTGGGGGGAGAGAGAAGCAAGGATGGATCCCATGGCTTCTTAGGGCCATGCTTCATTTGGACTCACAGTCTGTGTGATTCCATGTGGACAGGCCTTCTGAGTGAAGCTGGGTAACCATGCCAGGCATTGATGTCCCCTCCCCAATATCCACACTGCCTCATAACCCAGCGGTGAGGAGATGGCATTTCCCCACAGGATGCCGGATGTTCTGGGTACAGAAGCTGGAAATAGGGCATACACTGCTCTGGTACGCACATGGCTTTTTAGCAGGTGGAGAAATTTGTAAGCTCAGGTATGGGCTGCTCTCTGAATCCAGCCGTCGCTTATATTTCTGGCGGCCTCCACGTACTCGGTCAAGGCGCACACCTGTTAGAGAGGAAAAAGAGATGGTGTCAGAAGCTGATCAATGTCACCAGGGGTACTAGCAAAGTGCTGATTTTGGAATTTCAGCACTGGCTAAACCTTTCAGAGTCATCCCTGCATAGCCAGCCTGCGGCCAGGGTGCTGGACAATCCTGCAACAGCTGCCCAAGAGTACGGGCCCAAGGCAGTCACCCCAGAACTGTTCCTGCCTCTCAGGTCTCAGTATTCTCTTGAAACCCATCTCCAGCCCTTGAGTCTTTACGGCTCCAAAAGCAAAAACATAGAAAAGCCCTCTCTCAAATGCTGGGGGAGAAGGCACTGTGTGTTTGTGTTAAGTCAACGTGGGAGTTCAAGGAGGGAGGAGACCACTTGTGCAGAGCCCCTGCATGGGCAGCCACTCCCTAAAAGATGAACAGGCCCCTTCAGGCTTCACAGAAGCAGCATCCAGGTGGGTGAGTGATTATCACCCAAGTCAATTTCTGAGTCTCACCCCTGTGGACCAGGCGAGGTAGGTGGTCCAAGCCACCTTTGGGAAACCCATGCCTAGCGATACCTCGGCTGCACATTTAGGAGCTACTGTGACTATTTCACATTGATATCCATTTCCAGGAGTGACAGCCCTGTTACTGTTCGTGTTGGAGACACCCTCGTTCTGCCATTGTGCTCACATGGCCTTCCAGAAGCCAGCCCTACCCACAGCTCCTGCTGTCCAGACAGACACCTCCCACCCACAAATTGAGAACACAGGGTGTTATGGTTTGTGTTTGGATGTGGTCCCAAAGCCTCATGCAGTCACGGGAATGGGCTTCTAGAGTTTGTCATTGATTCATGGTCCAGTGCTGGGATTATGGATGTGAGTGCTATACCCAAGTGGATGTGGCCTACATACAATATAAGGGACAGAAAGAGGCTTGTTCTCCAGTTCTTCCTTTTTGGCTCTTGTTACTTATGTTGTCTTCTACTACCATGAACTGTTGCCCTCTGCCACAAGCCACCCTGCCGTGGACCCAGCAAATTATGGACTGAAACCTCCACAAAACTGAGCTAACTACACCTTTCCTTCTTTAAATTTGAGTTTCAGGTATTTTGTCCCAGCAATGAAAGAAAAGTAACCAACACACAGAGCTTCAGGTAGGTGCCTTACCCAAGAGCACACAAGCTTGCACTGGCCACCAACTGGGAGCTGACATACAGGAAGCCAGAGGACGTGACAGAGAAGCACAACAGGCAGTGGGATAGAAGTATGGTGCTGGCGTCCCTGGTGATCCAGGATCTACTTCTGCTTCTGTGCTGAGCTCTCCCAGGCCAGAACTAAAGCAAAGCCCCTGATTCCTGGACCCAGGCTATCATGAACAGCTCTTGTCCTGACAGTGAAGTGGGATTGATGAAATATAAATCTGGGCTGAGTGTGGTTGCACATCCCTGCAATCGTTCAAGGCCAGCCTGAGTTGCGTAGTGAATTCAAGGCCAGTTGGAGCTATAAAGTGAGACCTTGCCTCAAGGGAAAAAAAAGTCAGCAGCAGAGAACACAGTTCTCAGAAAAGCACAGTTGCTGCTTCAGCCGACCACCAGGGGGAACCTCTGCTCAGTCCCCAGAGTTCAAGAGTGTTGCCCTCAGAGGCCCCATCAGCTGGCCTTCAGGGCCCGCCTGTCCCTTGCCCACAGACTCACACTTCCAGATCTAAGGAAGCTCTCGGGTTGCAACAAAAGCAGCAGGTGTCCTTCCCCCAGTTCCTTGCCTAGCTCTGGGGAGGTAGGCAAGCTAGCCCTGGACATTTAGGTCTTGTTCCAGGAAAAAAAAAGAGAAAGTCAGAGTAACTGTAACCATCCCTGTTTTTCCCCAAAATAAGACCTACCCAGAAAACAAGGGCCTACTTTCAGAGGATGTCTCCTAAAATCATGCTAGAGACAGGTGTGGGAATACATGCCTATAATCCCAGCACTCAGGAGGAGAAGACAGCCTGGGCTACAAACTGAGCTCAAGGCCAGCTGAAACTACATAATGAATCCCTGTCTCAAAACCATCATGCTATATGATATTTTCTGGGCATCTCTTACTTTTAGGAAAACACACAAATGGAATCCATAGTTTAGATCCTATTCACACCAGGGGTGATGATCTGGCTGTTTTTCGATAGGACACACAGCTACTAAATTCAAGCACCTGACACAAGAGGAAGTGTCCTTCAGCAGTGATAGCAAGGATAGTTCCTTTAACTGACCACTGCTCTAAGGAACTTCAGGTGAAGACTGCTGAGGACCCCTGTGTCCATCCAGCTAAAGGCTCCAGCCCCATCCTCTTCTAGAAAACAAACACAGTAGCCCACAGAACCCTCTGGCCATCGAAGGGACTCAAGGGACTCTGCGGTCAGCACCTGCACCAACAACATCCTTTTCACCACACAGCCTGGTACTTTTGTGCCTGGTACTACACATAGCTATAATAAGCATTTTTCTTTTAAGTAGGGGGATCCCACCCTTGATTTCTATTGGAAGGTAATTCCTCTATTGGGCTCATCCTATCTAGGACTATGCCCCACCCCTGCCTGACGTCTGGGAGGTCTGGGTTCTCTTTCCTGTTTGGGAAGGCAGAGCTGACCCTGTGACACAACCACTGCCAAGGGAACCACCCCAGGGAGGCACATCAGCAGAGGAGGGTGCAGCCTGACTGGGGCAGCCCCAAGTCCTGGTTATAGCATGTCATGGGTACACCAGGCTCTCCTCTAGCATTAAGTATGGTCCTTGAACCTCTGAGGGGCCCCCAGTAACCCCAAATTCCTCCTTTGGGGTCGGAAATAGTCATCACAGAGCAAAATGTATGACAAGGATGTCCAGGCTGCGTCAGAGGATGGAGCGCCAGGCACTTGTGCTCCTGAGCAAGCAAATGTTGGGAGCAAGCAGTTGGGCCCACCAGCTGCCAATTAAGGCTTCCCTGGCACTTCCTGCCTGCCTCCCTGGCCCAGGCTGAGCTGGCTTGTGCCAAGGAAAGCCCCAGACAGAGTCGAAGCCCTGCTGGTATGCACAGAAAGACAGCATGCTGGGCCGTCTCTGATGCCTTTCTTCTCAAAGTATGGCCTGGACCTGTCACCATCTTTGGGGCCTGCGGGAAAGACCAACCTCTAAGGGTTGGCCAGGGGAATCAAAATCAGCCCCTGGTAATGGCACCAGCATGCACTATGGAGTCTGTGTAACACTGCTCCTCTAGGGTACCCCAGCAGCACCCTGGGCCTCTTGGGATCAGCTGAATCCCACTGGCACAGACCTGGTCCCTGTGCAGGGAGGGCTGTGGCTCAGCTCTGCTGCTTGGTCCCTCCGCCCTCTCTGCCCCTCACCCTGCAGATACATCTCCATAGAAGACCACTGCCCATAACACCAAAGACCCACCCTCGCTGAGCTTTACTCCCCTGGAAATGAGAAGACCAAGATGAAAATCTAAACCTCACCCATGAAGCACAGTGAGGACCCCCATTCACCAAGCACTGTATCTGTGCAGGGTGCAAACTGTCCTCTCACCCCTGAGTGCAGGGGCAGCCCTGCTCCCCCTCTCCTAGCAGCCAAGTCTCCTGAGCTCTGTCCCCAGCAGCCAGCCTTACCTGGGGTTCTGTCAGCCAGACTGCGAGAACTGCTCAACAAAACTGGAAACAAGCAGTTTATGCTGACAATCCCAGCACTTTGGGGGCGCTGAGGCAAGAGGATCAAAAGTTTGAGCTCAGCTCAGGCAACTTAATGACTTACAGAAAACTTGTCCTCAAAAAGTATGTAAAAGACTGGAAATGTAGTTCAGCACCTGCCGGGCAAGCTTGAAGCCCTGAGTTCCATTCCCAATACCAAAAAAAAAATTTTTTAAAAACATCTCAGTGCCAAGGCTCTGGGTTCAATCCAAGTAATAAACAAACAAATAAATGCAACCATCTATTGCTCAACAAACTAAAGAGATAGGCGGCTGCCAACTCTGTTCATGCCTCCTTCTGGAATGTTCTCTAACTCAATGCAGGCCACAGAGGCTGGTGCTGCTTCAGGAGCTCCTGGGCTTCCCCTATCAACCATGGGCCCCTAAGGTCCGTAGGATCTGCTGTGGTACCTGGCACCCACTGGCGTGTAAGACACAGGAATCAGTGCCGGCTCATATTATCATCCTTATCCAAGGCCTTCTGAGTAAGTCACATTAACAATTAGGCCTCACGATAAAGTATTCATCATGTATTGCAAACTTATTTCTAATAAAAAATCTAAACCAATGATAGCATAATTCACAGGACAGAGGTACGCATCACCTTATTTAATTCACAAGAGATAGCACGGGTATTCTGTTCTTCATTTTACAAATAAAAAACAAAGGCTCAGAGAGATTCAGTCATTTGTCTAATAAAAGAGCCAGTATAAGAAGTTCCTTGCCATCCCAATGCATGACCTTCAGGAGAAGTAAAAGATAAACTCTCCTCTAAGTTTTCTCCTCCAGATCTTTACAGCCTAGTGGTCAATAGCACTGATCAATAAATGTATCAATTATCAGCTTATTGTGTTTGAAAAAGGAAAGAGGCTGTTGGGTTTAATCATGCACAACTGAAGCCTAATGTGCAGCGTCTGCTCTCCCCAGCCCCAGCCCAGCCACATCCCCTAATTGCTAGCCCAGGACACCAGGGTTCCAGGCAGAACAATGTGTGTGCATGAGGCAGGGTAGAGGGCGTGTTGGGCCTCAGTTGTGCCATCATGCAAGGGGCGGAGGCAGTGGTAACAACCAATGGCTGCATGGCTCACAGCAGGCCAGCTCTGGCAGCCCCTGTCTGTACCTCAGCACTCACCTAGCCCTCGATGCCCAGGTCACCACAGGCTCTTTCCCTCCACATCCTGGGCCAGTCAACAAGTGGGTTTCTAGGGACATTGCCCAGACCAGCTATATTTCTTCTACCCCCATTCCATAGTCAAGGTTTGCCTGTGATCACTGAGGGTGGGGGACAAAGACCTAGGGTGGAGGACAGAGGCTCCCATATAAAGGCTTCCAAG